AGCACCAAGAACAATGTCTGGGACACATTAAGAGCTTATATGAGTGTTGGTATTATACATAAGCAGCAAAAAAAAAAAAAAAGCTTTGCATTTTGCTGTTCATTGAAATAGTACAACACTGACAACACTTTTCAAACTAGGCAGAAATATTTGGTAAATAGAATGGTCTTCTCTGAAAATTCTTTTTCAAAATTTGACAACCTTGATTGAAGGGGCTTAAACAAAATTAGAATAATACTGGAAAAAAATTATTCAGCAAATGTTTCTAAGATCAAGAGGTTCTTTAATGGGCATTGACAGGCAGCACTGTGGCTTGGAGAAGTGAGTGGGAAAACATGAGTTCTGAAGTTGTTATGAATTTCCATGTGATACATACAGAAAAGACTTGTAATAACACCCGGTACATAGAGATGTTCAATAAACAGTATCTACTGTATTTACTATTATCTCATTGTTGATAAGAGCAAGGTCAGGTAAATTCTGGATTTCAGATTGGTTAGATAGTAAATGCTATCAAATCACTTGTCCACATAGTGGACATTTTTTTTTTCTCTTTGTGGTGGGTTGAGACAAAGACTGGCTTCTACAGGCTACCGGATTATAGACCCTCAGTGTCCAAAGGCAAAAATAGAAAAGCAATGCGAAGACAAAAAACGTCTTTGCTGGAGAAAGTGACCAATGAGGCAACATCTTTGAAAAAGTTGTTCTTGAAGGATAAGCCCTTGGGAAGCAAATACCACACTCACCTGAGATGGGGGTGTGAGGTTGGGTGAAAATCACATCAGAAATACAGTTACTTGAATGTATTGGTTAAAGGAGAGGCAACCTTTAGTGTGTAGTGAAGCTGCCTGAAGATTTCAATCCCGTTTCCTGCCAATCATTGCTACCCTTTTCCTCTTGTTTCCTTCTCTCAAATTCTTCTATACAATGTAGATCTTATATAACAAGTTTCCAGTCTTCAAATGTAACTGTTCTATGTTTTTTCTCCTTTAAAGTGTCAACTAACTACTTTATGATAAATCTATCCCTTTTATTTTGAAATGCTGGGTATTATTGTTCTGTGTTCTAATTAAAACATTCAGGATGCAGTGCCCAAATGTTGACCCACTAGTTCAACTCCACTGAAGACAGTATAAAGTCTGAAGTTTAGTGGGAAGAAATGTTTTCGTATCTCATTATCTCTTGTCAATATACGTTCAAATGCATTCCTTTTTCTGGATGTAGAATTTGTTTCTGTTTAAATACCTGATTATTCCTTTGATTGGACACTCAAGAATATAGCTCTTTACTGTTAGTATAGTTTGATAAATGTATTCACTTCACCATGTATAACCTGAACATTATTACTATATTTCCTTGGACTTACATGGTAGCTTTCTACTATAAAATCTTATTTTGCTATGGAAAATTATCACGGATACTATATGAAATTATTATTTTTCTAGCTGCTATTATTCTTTGCTTAGAAACACAGATAGG